CATCGTCCACACACATGGTGTGCACAACTGTGCGATTTAGCAATCGTGCGCCCCGTTGTGCGCTTTGATATCATTTGTAGATCAAAATTACGAAATGACAAAAATACGGAAGGCCTGTATGCGATAATGTACACTGTGTATATACATCATGTATCTGTAATTTCTCATCACAATAATCAAGATTATACAATTTCACAATGCGTGTTACGCAGTATTACAGCGACCGTTAGGCTGTCAAGAATGGGTTTGGCTCCAAGGTAACAAGATTTCAAGATTTCAAGATTTTTTTATTACGCTCTGACACACAAAGTGTGTAACAAGAGGTCAAACAAAATGACATCAATCAAAATAAAACATAACAGAACAGGTAAATAACAATTTGATGAGTGTCCGGAGTTTTAACTGACCAGTGCCTGACACACAGAGCTGATATGCGATACCGTTTGACCGTAATGAATAGTATTTGTTATTTGCATTCGTTTGCCTATAGCTCCCCTTCACCTGGATTTTCAAACCCACGGCCTTACCCAACGAGTTACGTAAGTGCCCCAGGCGGGGAGAAAACTACGGTCCAGGTACATGTACAAAGTGGTTATGTTTACCTGTATACGGGATTGTGTTGTAATTTTACATGTGTCGATTAAGTTTGTTTAAAAACACAGAAAACACAATTTCTAAATATAAGAATGTATAGACAGAAAGATAAGTTTATAGATGTTGCTAGAATATAGAAACATACGTAAACATCAAGTTTATATGTTTAAATATGAAACCGTATAAATTGTTAAGGCATTCCTCAATTTACACCAACCACGATTGTTATCGCACAAGGTCCGTCCATCGTGCGCACAGATGTGCGCAAGCAATGATCGTCCAGCTTTTTATCGTTCGCCCATCGTGCACACACTGTTTACACACCGTGCACACATCGTGCGCACACCGCACATCGTGTAACGTTGTGCGATCCCACAACTGTACATTCTAACATATATGGGTTAGGTTAAACAGTATATCAAACACGTGTTTAGCTACACTCTAACATACATGAGTTAGGTTACAGTGTATCAAACACGTGTTTAGCTACACTCTAACATACATGGGTTAGGTTACAGTGTATCAAACAGGTGTTTAGCTAAATTCTAACATACATGTATATGGGTTAGGTTACACAGTACTAGTATATCAAACACGTGTTTAGCTACATTCTAACATACATGGGTTATGTTACACAGTATATCAAACACGTGTTTAGCTACATTCTAACATGCATGGGTTAGGTTACACAGTATATCAAACACGTGTTTAGCTACATTCTAGCATACATGAGTTAGGTTACACAGTTTATCAAACACGTGTTTAGCTACATGCTAACATAAATGGGTTTTGCACTGTATATCAAACACGTGTTTAGCTACATTCTAGCATGCATGGGTTAGGTTACACAGTATATCAAACACGTGCTTAGCTACACTCTAACATACATGGGTTAGGTTACAGTGTATCAAACAGGTGTTTAGCTAAATTCTACCATACATGTATATGGGTTAGGTTACACAGTACTAGTATATCAAACACGTGTTTAGCTACATTCTAACATACATGACTTTTTTACAGTATATCAAACACGTGTTTAGCTACATTCTAACATACATGGGTTAGGTTACACAGTATATCAAACACGTGTTTAGCTACATTCTAACATACATGGGTTAGGTTACACAGTATATCAAACACGTGTTTAGCTACACTCTAACAAACACGTGTTTAGCTACACTCTAACAAACACGTGTTTAGTTACACTCTGACAAACACGTGTTTAGCTACACTCTAACAAACAGGTGTTTAGCTACACTCTAACAAACACGTGTTTAGCTACACTCTAACAAACACGTGTTCAGCTACACTCTTACAAACACGTGTTTAGCTACACTCTAACAAACACGTGTTTAGCTACACTCTTAAGGATGAACACCTCTGTATTAATGCAAATAAAATATGTTTGTGTGGGTTTTTTTTGGCTTTGATCTTTCAAAGATACCAATTTAACTTGATATTAATTCAATATTTCCCAAGTTTGTTATAAAATATGCATGAATGTTTGCAGAATTGTTGAGAATAGTCATTTCTTTTAACTTATCGAAGTAAAATTTCTTAATCCTGTATTTTTTTTATCTCAGAAAAGCGATCTAAGTTACCCCTACCCTTATATTTTAATGAAAAAAAACTCATTTGTTTATCTGCTATTAAACCTTTTTTAATACTTCATGAATAAAAAAGAGCTGTGTTGTTCTTTCTAAAACAGACACAAAAAGGGGGTCCGTGTGCTTCATTTTTGTCTCATAATTGTATGTTTTTATTTTCACCCTTTTTGAGTCATAAATCAAAGTGCTTCTGTTACACTAAACATGTAAAAATAATACCAATCATATACTGTATAATTTTCCAATTTGTTCGACATCATTGTCATCATATTGTACATAACAAAGCTATACAGCAAAGATGAACTTGCTACAATTACAAATGGCGACACAATGACGATTTAAGTGATCAATCGAGTGTCAAAATAGGTGAAATTTTTGGTCTTTCGTGAAATCTAAGAAATACATATTTTCAAAATAGCCGCCCAAATTAGTCAATTTCTAAAATTCTTGTAAAAAAAAGTTTTACAAACAAGAGACATATATTTTTTGACGCTTTTTTCCAGATGTGTGTTTGCTATTAAAATTGATCAAAACTTATTTGATATTTCACAAACCTGTTACACAAGATCAAAACGAGACTTGAACGTGATTGAAACCTCTGACGAGTACAACCTTAATATATATGTGTTTAGTTACACAGCATATCAAACACGTGTTTAGCTACACGCTCTAACATATGTGTGTTTAGTTACATTATAGCATATATGGGCTAAATTCAACTTCCAACACGAATAGTAAAACCTTAACATACATGTATATGTGTTTAGTTACACAGCATATCAAACACGTGTTTAGCTACACGCTCTAACATATGTGTTTTAAGTTACACATTATATATGTATCAAATAGGTGTTTAGTTACATTATAGCGTATATGGGTTAAATTAAACTTCCAACACGAATAGTAAAACCTTAACATATATGTGTTTAGTTACACAGCATATCAAACACGTGTTTAGCTACACGCTCTAACATATGTGTGTTTAGTTACACATTATATATGTATCAAATAAGTGTTCAGTTACATTATAGCATATATGGGTTAAATTAAACTTCCAACACAAATATGTGTTTAGTTACAAGCACTAATATACGTATATGTTTGTACACAGTATAGCGTATATGGGTTAAGTTCATCAAACACGTGTTTAGCTACACGCTCTAACATATATGTGTTTAGTTACACTTTATATCAAACACGTGTTTAGCTACATACTCGAGATATGCATGTACATGGGTTTAGTTTCTCACAAAAATACACGTGTTTAGCTACAAACTCAAGACATACACGTGTTCAGTTTTACAATCAAACATGTACATGTTTAGTTATGCAACCCAACAGGCATGCGTTTAGTCACACAACCTATAACTTGCCAATGCTAGTTACACAACCCAGCATACACATGTTTAACTACACACAAAACAAACACCTGTTTATCTTAACACACGTAGATACCCATGTATGCTGTAGCGTACATTTGCCTACGTGTTCATTCCCTGTAAAACGACATGAAGAAACGGAACCAGAATATGCGTGCGCATCTCATTCGCGAAGAAACAACAAAATACTGTCTGAATAGGTATGGGTTCATGCTGCGGAAAATGACAGCGGACGCTCGCCACCAGCTAGAACTACATGTAATTACATTTTAGTCTGAAAAATTGGATTCCATCAGCTAACTTGCAAAATGGCAGACTGGATTGCCCGCCGTACTATTTTCTGTTGTTAAGGTTACACAATATTGCTTCGAAAATACAAAAAACTGTCTAGTATCATAGACCGCGCAGCATTCTTAAGCAAAACTCCCATCCTTGCTCTGTGCATCTATTGTGTGCAGAACTAAGGTAGAAAAGGTTGTCAGAGTAAACAATTCGCTTTGTACCATCAGTAAAATAACTATTGACTACAAAACACCTATAAACAGGGTAGCAACAAGATATATTTGGATTGTGACAAATTCAGAGAACGGAGCAAGAAGAGCCAGGATGGATCGAAGAACTTCAAGGTCCCACATTATACAAATGCTTCCCTATGATGTCTGTCAAAACTACCATGTGTTCCCGCGCTACTGTATAGATTGATCACCTTCAGCTCCTTCTGAGCTTTACTGAACGAAACATTGACAAGCATAACATGGAAAACTCAGTAATAAAACTACTAAAAGTTGGAACTTTACATTTGAAAGGGTAGAAAAAAATAATGACCTCACTTTTTTACTAGTTTTGCGAACTTTCTGTAAACCGAATTACTTCTTATTTATGTCTGAAGTGTAATAGGATACATATTAGCTGAGCATTTACTTTCATGCTGCAGTTGGCTATTGACGTCATTATCATGTTGATTCCGGCATGGGCCGGACAAACTCTAGACTGTTTTGGCCATCTAATTGCCGACAGAAAATAAAGTTTTAAAGAAAATCATCAGATACGGTCGTGTTTTCACATTTCGTATTCTTCTACAAAAGGTATGGGTTTTTTTATTATTTGAAATTGAATATATGCAAATGATTTTCAACAAATGCCACTTTGTCACGAGCGATTTAAATATAAATCGGTCGAATATTTCCTGGTCTCCCCTACTCTCATGTTGCAGGCAATACTCAGGTTGACTTGCGACAAAGCTACCTTTGTTAACTGAAACTTAACTCAACAGCATCCATTTTGTTTTGTTAGTGTTCCTAAGACATTTTTATCAATACATTACGTCATCAACATAATGGCCAGTCAATCAAAATTGAAATATGATTGTCTGCTACTGGTCTTAGTATAGCGAAGAGCTTTCCTGGCGGAAATACCGAAACTAAGGCAAGAACACGTTTAGGAGCATCAAAGAGTGCAGTCTAGCGGAAGGAATTGGTATCAAGGCAGGTAATCTTATAACAAAGGAAAAAGCAGAATAAATAATCCCTGTAAAGCACATTGAAAATAGGGCATAGCTTTGATGTCAAACGTGACGTTGTTAAAATATCGAACCAAGGATAACGCTACAAAATCCCGAACATTTTTGTCATAGTTACATTTTATCTACATCGTTTAAAGTACAATTTACCAGTTCAAGTAGAAAATGGTGTATTTTCCTCTTGAATACCATACATATTTCAAGCCTTTACAGAATACACTATTAAAAGATGTGTATTAGTTATAAAAACGTGGTAATATAAGTGTAGCATAATTGTTTGTCAATTGAATACACTGTGGCAATAATTTATGAGTACATTTTTACTTCAGTGATGACCAAATGTCGTACATGTATATACATTAATTAAACTAAAACAAGTATTTCCACACAATTATCCCTGTAGCGTGTTTCAATATGATATCGTCATAATGATATTGCAAATTTACAAAAATTAAAGGTTCGTCACAAAACAAACTGAACTTCAGGTGAGTTTTAAATTGGCAACTGCAAGTCAGTGTTGAATTGCCAATACAGCAAATAAGTTAACATGGTATCAAAGATACATTAGTAGCCGATGTGTATTGGGCGGTCAAAGACTTTCTCATGTGTGCTGTAGTGCTTTTACGTAAAACATACAATTGTACATTACATGCATGATTTATTCATATCCCTAAAACATTCTTATGACTATTACGAATATATGTTCCATTCGCTTCCTAAATAATGGCGCACAGAAAAATGTCGAGGACGGAATAATGACGTCATGTTTCCATAGCGAAAAACGAAATAAAATATAAGGAAATCATTTTTGTTTCTAATTCGTCCATTTCATCCAATGAGTTCAAACCTAAAATATGAACCACATCATACATGTATGTGTATTAGATCAAGTAAAATCCTGTATCGATTTAGTCATAGTAAACAGGTACAGTGTAATAAGTGGGTAGATTGTACACTGAATGTATCGGTGATATTCACAAAACACGTGATGATGTCAGATAGTATCCAATGTGTGTACACACGTTATTACCGACACTGCACATTGTCACGTGATCTCGAGGTAGGTACACATCATCCCAATCAGAATGTCGCTTTTAGAAATACCTGCCAATACACGAGATAATAAGGAATGGTAGTGTTAGGCGACTGGATCTGACGGAAGTCCTCGGAGAATTATTACCAACATTACAGTTCGGCTCCTGGCAGCAGGAAGTACACATGATCTGGGTCACCCCGAATCCTTTCGCGCGGCAGCCATACCAACATTCCTTTGCACATGAACGCTTGATACTTATGGTCATCTTCTTCACTGTGATCCGCTCCACCTGGCGGGGGAAATAATCAAATAATTATCTGAGCAATCGTTTGCATTTATGTGAAGTTAATTATCAATATTTGAATATGATAGCACAAACAAACATTTGGTTATCTTCGCATGCCTTCATTTATTGAAGATAGGGATAAACTTGATACTAGAACACGAAATGGATTCGTTGTAGGCTGACTCTGATGGTGACAAAATAGTGATCATGGCTGACCTTTCAACCTGCAAGTGAAACGCATGGTCGAACACAATTGGAATTCAACACATGGATGTCATGGGCATCAGAAATTACACAGACACACAAAGGGTGTAGTAAGTTACATCAGATATAACATAGACAAACAAAGGGTGTAGTAAGTTACATCAGACATAACACAGACAACACAAAGGGTGAAGTAAGTTACCTCAAATATAACACAGACAAACAAAGGGTGAAGTAAGTTATATCAAACATAACACAGACACACAAAGGGTGTAGTAAGTTGCATCAGAAATAACATAGACAAACAAAGGGAGTAGTAAGTTACATCAGAAATAACACAGACAAACAAAGGGTGAAGTAAGTTATATCAAACATAACACAGACACACAAACGGTGTAGTAAGTTACCTCAAATATAACCCAGACAAACAAAGGGTGTAGTAAGTTACACCAGACATAACACAGACAACACAAAGGGTGAAGTAAGTTACCTCAAATATAACACAGACAACCAAAGGGTGTAGTAAGTAACATCAGACGTAACACAGACAAACAAAGGGTGAAGTAAGTTATATCAGACATAACACAGACAAACAAAGGGGGAAGGAACTAACATCAGACATAACACAGACAAACAAAGGGTGAAGTAATTAACATCAGACATAACACAGACAAACAAAGGGTGTGGGAAGAATCACGAGACATTGCATAGATTACCCAAAGGAGTGTTCAGTGACACACACCACTACACTGATTACACACAACGGAGTGGTCAGTGACACCAGCCAGCACACTGGATACACACAACGGAGTGGTCAGTGACACCAGCCAGCACACTGGATACACACAAGGGAGTGGCCAGTGACACCGGTCATCACACCGAATACACACAAATGAGTGGTCATTGACACCTGTCATTACATTTATTACACAACTGAATTGTCAGTGACACCGGTCATTTTACTGATTACATAACGGAATTGTCAGTGACACAAGACATCACACTTAATACCCACAACGGAATGGTCAGTGAGACCTGGCATTACACTGGTTACACAACGGAATGGTCAGTGACACCGTACATTTCACTGTTTACACACAACGGAATGGTCAGTGACACCGGACATAATACTAGATGCACAACGGAATGGTCAGTGATACCGGACATTTTACTGAATACATAACGGAATTGTCAGTGACACCAGACATCACACTTAATACACACAACGGAATGGTCAGTAAAACAAGACATCACACTGAATACACACAAGGTAGTGGTCAGTGACACAGTGCATCACACTGAATACACACAAGGAAATGGTCAGTGAGACCTGGCATTACACTGGTTACACAACGGAATGGTCAGTGACACCGTACATTTCACTGTTTACACACAACGGAATGGTCAGTGACACCGGACATAATACTAGATGCACAACGGAATGGTCAGTGATACCGGACATTTTACTGAATACATAACGGAATTGTCAGTGACACCAGACATCACACTTAATACACACAACGGAATGGTCAGTAAAACAAGACATCACACTGAATATACACAAGGGAGTGGTCAGTGACACAGTGCATCACACTGAATACACACAAGGAAATGGTCAGTGAGACCTGGCATTACACTGCTTACACAACGGAATGGTCAGTGACACCGGATATCACACTTAATACACACAACGGAATGGTCAGTGAGACCTGGCATTACACTGGTTACACAACGGAATGGTCAGTGACACCATACATTTCACTGTTTACACACAACGGAATGGTCAGTGACACCGGACATCACACTGATTATACACAAGGGAGTGGTCAGGGACACCGGACATCACACTGATTACACACAACGGAATGGTCAGTGACACCGGACATCACACTGATTACACACAACGGAATGGTCAGGGACACTGGACATCACACTGGTTACACACAAGGGAATGGTCAGTGACACCGGACATTTCACTGGTTACACACAACGAAATGGTCAGTGACACCGGACATTACACTAGTTACACAACGGAATGGTCCATGAAACCGGACATTTCATTGGTTACACAACGGAATGATCAGTGACACCGGAAATTACACTGGTTACACACAACAGAATGGCCAGTGAAACCGGACATAACACTGGTTACACACAACAGAATGGTCAGTGAAACCGGACATTACACTGATTACACAACAGAATGGTCAGTGACACCAGACATTACACATATAACACAATGGTCAGTGAAAACGGACATTACACTGGTTACAAAACAGAATGATCAGTGACACCGGAAATTACACTAGTTACACACAACAGAATAGTCAGTGACACCAGACATTACACATATAACACAATGGACAGTGAAACCGGACATTAAACTGGTTACACAATGGAATGGTCAGTGAAACCGGACATTAAACTGGTTACACAATGGAATGGTCAGTGAAACTGGCCATTACACTGGTTACAAAACAGAATGGTCAGTGACACCGTACATTTCACTGTTTACACACAACAGAATGGTCAGTGACACCAGACATTACACATATAACACAACGGAATGGTCAGTGACACTGGACATTACACTGGTTACACACAACAGAATAGTCAGTGACACCAGACAGTACACATATAACACACAAGGGAGTGGTCAATGACACCGGATATTACATTAATTACACGCAGGGGAGTTAGTTGGAGTGCGATCCTGTTAGCGGATGTAAGATTTAGATCACGGAAACACGTACAAATTAAATATAAACTGAAAACGTCAATTTAGGTAAGTGTGTGTTAAAGAACCAATTAGAATAGCTAATGACGCATCAAAATAACTAGACTAAAGTTCGGTATGTATTTAAACAGAACCAGGAACACCTCCGTTTATGTTTGTGTTGGCTTTTGTAACAACACACAATATATCAGTAAGATGGTTGCAGTCACTAAACAAACCTAGGAAAGGATAGCAACACAGTGGGGAAAATCCAATAATAATCTCGCAATGATTGCATATGGTAATATTGAAGAGATCTCAAAACACATTTCAGGGTACATACAAATGTAATACGTCCCTCTTCGCATAGGACACAGACATGCTCCTTAGATGCCCCATATAACAAAGCTTTTCAAAACAAAACAAAACAAAACCCTCAAATTCAGGACAGGACAAAGCCCTTAAATAAAAGACGAAACAAATTCTTAATGTAAAGGAAGGAAAAATCCTTGAATTGAAGCGAAAACAAACCCTTAAAACAGTTATGGTATTTATTTACATGTATGCAGATGTGTTAGTTATAGAAGATATACAGGTGTGTATATAGTTATAGTATATATACAGGTGTGTATAGGTATAGTATATATACAGGTGTGTGTATAGTTATAGAAGATATACAGGTGAGTATAGTTATAGTATATATACAGGTGTGTGTATAGTCAAAGTAGATATACAGGTGTGTGTATAGTTATAGTAGATATACAGGTGTGTATAGGTATAGTATATATACAGGTGTGTGTATAGTCAAAGTAGATATACCGGTGTGTATACAAATGTAGTTATAGAAGATATACAGGTGTGTAAAGTTATAGTAGCTATACATGTGTGTATATTTATAGAAGATAAACAGGTGGGTATAGGTATAGAAGATATATAGGTGTGTGTATATTTATAGAAGATATACAGGTGTGTATAGTTATAGTAGATATATAGGTGTGTGTATATCTATAGAAGATATACATGTGTGTATAGTTATAGTATATATACAGGTGTGTATAGTTATAGTAGATATACAGGTGTGTATAGGTATAGTATATATATAGGTATGTATAGTTATAGAAGATATACAGGTGTGTGTATAGTTATAGTAGATATACAGGTGTGTATAGTTATAGTAGATATACAGGTGTGTGTATAGTTATAGTAGATATACAGGTGTGTATAGGTATAGTATATATATAGGTGTGTATAGTTATAGAAGATATACAAGTGTGTATAGGTATAGTAGATATACAGGTGTGTATAGTTATAGTAGATATACAGGTGTGTATAGGTATAGTATATATACAGGTGTGTATAGTTATAG